ACTGTCGTAGTACCCGGCCAGCTGGCATTGTCCTCCGCTAGCAGCAGTGCGTCACCACACGGCGGCATGGCTCACGCCCATGCTGTGCATCAATCTTATGTACACGCATGCATGCCGTAAAGTCTTGTATAAAGGCCGCACTTGAATAGAAGCCGCGCTCGAATAGAAGCCGCAATTTTGGGCCCATCAAATCACACATACGCCTGGTTTTAGTGTCGACATACATAGAAATACCTGTCTTGTATAGAAGCCTGTCTCATATAGAACCCTGCAGAATTTCACCAAGAAAGTCATAGAAGCCGCGGCTTTTATACAAGACTTTACGGTATGTCATACTACACTGTATACTGTTTGCCAGAAGTTTGTCAACAGTGTATCGCGGTATTCAGAGTTCTGTCCAGCTTTGGTGGTATTCACGGTATCATTCCATTCGGTAGAAATGAATATCATTATTATTAATACTTATTTTAAGAAGACTCAGGCTGCTGACCGCAAACGGCTACAATCATCAGTAAAATGGAGATACAGAAAATGCCGAGAGATTTTGTGTTGGCTGCCTGAGGGCCGTGCAAAACACGATAGGAGAGGGGTAGAGCAAGTCACTTGTCTCTTCAAGTAACTTAGTTGCCTGACCTGGGCTATGCAGAGCACACCTCTCACAGTCCGTATGCATGCAGGGTGCGACCATGCATGCGACCAATTCACGACAAGTATAATGCTGGAGTCTGGATAGAGGTGTGCATGAAATAGGACATAATGGGACTGAGTGTCCGATGATAATGACATGCTTGCGAAAATCACTCAGTTTGGAGTCTTGAGGACTTGCAAGCCAGGTCAGTGCAGGGGCCTGGCGAGTGTGATTTCGCATCTTTGTCATGTGCAGAAAGCAGGGAGTCCCTGGTACACTGTACTCGGAACGTGAGCATAGCATGTGGACTGTGGAGCCAACATGACGGACATCATGACTGTGAGCCTGTGACAAAACTCGGGTAGATCTACTTCAAGTACTAAGTTGTTGTAGAATCGGGGGTTGGGTGCATAGCAGGGAGTCGTCAAAATGGCATAATTATGACGACTCCCTGGTTCGGTCCAAACATGGCTGCCCTGTCACTGATGGCCATGTGATAGATGTGCAACAGCTCCACACGGTAGGCATATTATTTATGTACAATCATGTCCAGTAAACCTGGTGTAAGCGACCTCTCGTTTTAGCGACCACCTGCTCTTAACGACCGTTTTCCATGCACGGACAGTTCTACACAGACACTGTGGTACCTGGTTCTAAAGACCACCTGGCTTTAACGACGCTTTTCCTTGCGCCGTGGGGTGGTCGCTTAAATCAGGTTTTACTGTAGATCTACTATTCTAAAGTACATACATGTACATGTAACTAGCATCTGAAACCGTGACCATGGTGACCACCAAGGCTATTAAAAAACACCTATTAAAATATAAATGAGATCTTCAGCCTCTTTCACCCACAATCCGTGACGCTACTTCAACGTGTCGTTGTATTCTGTCAGTATTCTCTTACTTGTACTGTGTAGGGTGCAGGTAACACTGCCCTCTGATCGGAGAGACGGTTCTCCGACTCCCACCAAAACTGACGACACAGCTCCCAGTGTGCCGAAAATACCTATAAAGAAAACAATACTGAATCGTGTCGCAACCACTACTTAATACTGAATCATCACTTGTTTGAGGGAAAGACACAAACGGGAAAAGTCAGAAGAAAAAATTGACTGTCACCACCAGGACTCGAACAAGGGACCCTCGCGTGTCGCTAGCCATGCTCTAACCACTGAGCTATGGTGTAGTCGTCATCCCAGCAGAGACCGTTCAACATTTCCTTCAGACTTCGTAACTCACACAATACTGAATCATGTGAAGTGAGGCTTCATCTCGATCATACCATCATTTTAGCCAGGTATAGTACTTAATAGATTGCATCAAGCTACATGTACATATATGTAGCACAGGCAACGAATCTAAACAGACAGCGGCCCAGACAATGGAGAACTAGCCCTATGTGAAGTCAAAATGCACGCCCCCGATGAGTGAAACGTTTTAATTTCACTTTGGAAGGCAATCCAGGCTGGCCTAAAATACTGTACAGATCTAGACTAGTGCACTGCACTGAAGGCATTCACCCTACAGCACTGGCATCAAGGTCATAAAACATAAATAGGTCAGGTACATCAGTTCCAGGGAAAGTTGCGGTCAGGTTGCAGGTATTCTTTAAAAGCAAAGTCTCTCAAGAGTTTGCAGAACGCCAATGTCTGTCATATCATGTCACCCAGCATGTTGACCAATATATTGCTGGAAGCAAGAGCAGGTCATCATCTGCAACTGGGGGAGATAGGATGGAAGACGCGGCAAGCCTGCATCGGCACGGCGCACGGCCGTTCACAGGCGTTTTCTCTCGCGGATCGATCACGTCTTCCCGGGTGCCGTTTGGAACTAATTACTTGCCCTTGCTCTAGAAGCAGCGCTGACGTGCAGATTTAAGATAGCTATGACCGGACGTCACACCTTTCCATTGTCTGTAGCCAATGTGACACACAGCAAAACGACTGAAAAACAAACACAAAAAAACGTAGTTGTAAGTGGCCATGGTCTCTGGAGAACGACTTTGGGCAGGGCAAGTTTCATCATGAACCACGCTCCTCGTTATGACCGTCCAGGTGTCCAGCAGAGTAAGCCCTGGAGTGCCCCCCCCCCCCCCCCTCCCCAGACTACTGCCTGGCAGGCGTACGAATCAGCCATCGCGCGGCTCGTCCTTACAGAATGAGACAGTACGGGCAACATTTGCAGCACTTTCCAGCAGGCGCCGGATGCGGCGGGTCATCCCTGCTGGTTGGTCCGAGTGTGTCCTGTCCATGAAAAAGAGGAGTTTTCTCCCCCGGCGGCTGGGTTGACCGTCCTTCATTGAATTGATGATGCAGCTGTTCGGCAATCCTCCGCAGTGCATCCTCCAGGTCTTCTAGCACATCTGCTGTTATGTAATATCTATCACTTAAGGACTTCCTGCTCCGGAAATGGTCTTCAATAGTGTCACGAGTCACTTGCATGGCGGAGTCTGGATCACGTCTTGTGCAGAGTAAAAACTTCATACAGCCTGGTGTATGTGCATGCTTATCGGCCAGTGAAAGCGCCGTATCCGCCTGACTGAGAGAGCCAGGTGTATCGCGTACCAGGACAATTGTGACTCCGTTCACACTGTCATATTGGCTTCGTGTCGATGTACCATACTTATCGTCTAGACAAGTCAGCTTGACCTGCAAGGAGCACACATGCGTGCGCGCGCACACACACACACACACACACACACACACGCACGCATCCATGCATGCACGCACACACACACACACACACACACACATACACACACGTGTCCTGGTCCTGGTAAACATTGCCATTACGGTCACATGTCCCCTTGCGGGGCCGACAATATGGAACGAGGAGCGGCGGCAGTCCGCTGAGAGAGAGGTACTAGGTCAGGGACTCGGGGACCATGTTCGAGAGAGCCATCTCTGGCAGCTACGGATCTGGCTTATCATCGGAAACGATTCCTCTCACGGCTGCCGCTTGAACGGGTCCATCACTCTCCACAACACAACAGAGCGAACATTCCATGAGCCAATGACATATGCACATACAGTGCTACTCTATGAAATCCAGTCGATGCACTCACGTACGTACAGTCGTACACGCAGGGTGTTGCGCAGCCCTAGACCTGCGAACACTGGTCTTCGAAATGGTGCAAGACGCAAACTTGAGTGCCGCGACTAGATTTCATTGTCAGTAGGTGCGCTGTGGCGGAGCCGCCGAAGCCTCACCCTGGCGTCAAAGATCCTGTTTTACAGGTCGATGATCCAGGGTAGGTTGTCGTACGCTTCCAACGCCTTTTATCCGTCACTTCAAATTGGCAACATGAAGCCCCTCACACGTCTAACGAAGTGCGCTATCCGCGGCTTCTTCGGTCTGCCACCGTGGTCGCGCACGAGCCCGATCTTTGAACAGCTCCGCCTCACCACCCTGGAGGACATGTTTAACATTAAGCTCCTCATATTTGTCCGTCGTTGTCTGTTCTCCCGAGCTAGCTCCCTCTTCACCAGCTTCTTGGTGAGAGTTACTGGTGACCGCACTCAGAGAGCAGCACATCACCTCGTTCGAGCACCATTTTGGCCCGGTCCTGCGGGTCGAGCGACCATGCAGTTCATCGGCGCAGTCCTGTGGAACCAGCTCCCGCCTGATCTCCGTTCCGAGCCCAGCCACCTTCAGTTCTGTGCCCTGCTAAAAGCGCATCATGGCTCCGTTTAAATGCTTTTCGGCTAGTGTTTTTCTATGGTATAGCGGACTGAAGAATAAATAGTAAACGTATTTTGCATATTATATTATATGTATGAAGCTATTTTGTATTATGTTCCCATTCCGTTTTTGCTTTGGTGTAGCCCTGAGGTTGATTTGCTTACTTTGCTTACAAGTATTTATTTCTACCCTTCCTCTCTCCGTACTTCTGTCCCCCCCCCCCTCTCTCTCATTCCTTCTGTCGTCCACATGTATCAAAGGAGGCGAAATCGCCTGTTTGTGGTGCGACGTTAAATAAATTTCAACAACAACAGCAACAACAACAACAACAGGACAGTGCTTGTACTGGCATCTACATATTTCTCACTGCCTTTTCCATGGGGACAGACATGGCACTGCGCCAGCTCATGGCTCCTAGGCTGAGGGACATCGCTGACCCTTGAAGGTGACGTGAGTCGGCGAGTTTACAGAATTGTGGCCGGTTCAGAGGTGATGATGCTGTAAACGCCGCCCACATTTGTACGGCCCTCAGCATTCGTTCTGCACCTCCCTGCGGCGTGGGACGCCAACCAGCTCATGTTGCTGTGTGGAGTTTGAGACTCAGTGTGTGTTGTACTGGAAATGTACTCTCTCGTCTCCCCTCTCTCCCTCCCTCCCTACCTACCTCCCTTCCTACCTACATCCCCCCC